AGAAGAAGAAGAAGAAGAAATGAAAAGAAGAAAAAAGAAGAAGAAGAAGAAAAGAAAAGAAGAAATGAAGAAGAAGAAGAATGAAAAAGAAGAAGAAAAGATGAAAAGAAAAGAAGAAAGAAGAAGAAGAAGAATGAAAAGAAGAATGAAAAGAAGAAGAAGAAGAAGAAGAAAATGAAAAGAAGAATGAATGAAGAAGAAGAATGAAAAGAAGAAGAAGAAGAATGAAAAGAAGAATGAAAAGAATGAAAAAGATTCTTCTTCTTCTTTTCATTCTTTTTTCTTCTTTCTTTTCTTTCTTCTTCTTTTCTTCTTTTCTTCTTCTTTTTTCATTCTTCATTCTTCTTCTTCATTCTTCTTCTCATTCTTCTTTTCAATTCTTCTCTCATCATTCTTCTTTTCATTCTTCTTCTCATTCTTTTTTCATTCTTCTTCTTCTTTTCATTCTTCTTTTCATTCTTCTCATTCTTCTTTTCATTCTTCTTCTTTTCATTCTTTCTTCTTCTTTCATTCTTCTTTTCATTCTTCTTTTCTTTTCATTCTTCTTCTCATTCTTCTTTTCATGAAGAAAGAAATGAAGAATGAAGAAGAATGAAAAAGAAGAATGAAAAAAAGAAGAATGAAAAGAATGAATGAAGAAGAAGAAATGAAAGAAGAAGAAAGAATGAAAAGAAGAATGAAGAAGAAGAAGAAGAGAAAAAAGAAGAAAAAAAGAAGAAGAAGAATGAAAAAAGAAGAATGAAAAGAAGAAAAGAATGAGAAGAAGAAGAATGAAAAGAAGAAGAATGAAAAGAAGAATGAAAAGAAGAAGAAGAAAAGAAAAGAAGAAGAAGAAGAATGAAAAGAAGAATGAAAAGAAGAAGAAGAAAAGAAGAAGAAAAGAAGAAGAATGAAAAGAAGAAAGAAGAAGAATTCTTTTCTTTTCATTCTTTCATTCATTCTTTCTTCTTCTTCTTTTCATTCTTCTTCTTCTTTTCATTCTTCTTTTCATTCTTCTCATTCTTCTTTTCATTCTTCTTTCTTTTCATTTCTTCTTCTTTCATTCTTCTTCATTTTCATTCTTCTTCTTTCTTTTCATTCTTCTTTTCATTCTTCTCATTCTTCTTCTCATTCTTCTTTTCATTTTCTTTCATTCTTCTTCTTTTCATTCTTCTTCTTTTTCATTCTTCTTCTCATTCTTCTTTTCATGAAGAAGAAAAGAAGAATGAAAGAATGAAAAGAAGAAGAATGAAAAGAAGAATGAAAAGAAGAATGAGAAGAAGAATGAATGAAGAAAAGAATGAAAAGAAGAATGAAGAAGAATGAAAAGAAGAATGAAGAAGAAGAAGAAGAAGAAAAGAAGAAGAAGAAGAATGAAAAAAAAATGAAAAATGAAGAAGAAGAATGAAATGAGAGAAGAAGAAGAAGAAAAGAAGAAGAAGAAGAAGAAGAAGAATGAAAAAGAAGAAGAAGAAGAAGAAAGAAGAAAAGAAGAATGAAAAGAAGAATGAAGAAGAATGAAAAGAAGAAGAAAATGAAAAGAAGAAGAATGAAAAGAAGAAGAAGAAGAAGAAGAAAAAGAAGAATGAGAATGAAGAAGAAGAATGAAAAGAAGAAGAAGAAGAATGAAAAGAAGAATGAGAAGAATGAAAAGATTCTTCTTCTTCTTCTTTTCATTCTTCTTCTTCTTCTTTTCATTCTTCTTCTTCTTCTTTTCATTCTTCTTTTCATTCTTCTCTCATTCTTCTTTTCATTCTTCTCATTCTTCTTCTCATTCTTCTTTTCATTCTTCTTTTCATTCTTCTTTTCATTCTTCTTTTCATTCTTCTTTTCATTCTTCTCATTCTTCTTTTCATTCTTCTTTTCATTCTTCTTCTCATTCTTCTTTTTTCATGAAGAAGAAAAGAAGAATGAGCAGAATGAAAAGAAGAATGAAAAGAAGAAGAAGAATGAAAAGAAGAATGAGAAGAGAATGAAAAGAAGAATGAAAAGAAGAATGAGAAGAATGAAAAGAAGAATGAAAAGAAGAAGTATTCCAGTACAGCAAAAAGTGTATCTGCAGAGAGCTCCGCTATTTCTGACAGTTCTCTGACAGTTCCTTCACATGTACAGCGGTTGAAACATTGTATCTATTTATTTCCAAATAAAAACATCTGTATCCTAAATGGAAACAAATAGATACAATGTTTCAACCGCTGTACATGTGAAGGAACTGTCAGAGAACTGTCAGAAATAGCGGACAAATATTCGGATTCGACGCAAATCGAATTTTTCCTGAAATTCGAAACGAATTCCACTTCGCCTGGTTCGATTCACTCATCTCTAGATATTTTCTAGAGCTTTTGGGCTCCACATGTAGTTTTGGGAAAAAAAAAATATTTTTTTTCCAAAACTACAGAACACCCTTAAAGTTGATCTACACTCTATCTGAACATCACAAAACAAAACACTATTTAATTAGTTTTTAAATATTCAAAGCAAACGCCGAGCCAACCATGTCTCCATGCTTTATTTTTCTGAGAAATCACTTTGAAAAACACTCCCTAGCATTTTGAGTAAAAATTAATTACATAGCATTTAGCTCCTGGAATCAAACTGCCCTAAGCTCAGGACATGCAGGCAGGAGGGTGTGCCTAGCTGAGAAAGCCCCTTTCCCCTCCAGAAGACTCCTGGGATGTATGACATAATTTGCCTAGCAAAGAAACCAGGAAGTAACTGAAGAAATGGATAAAAAAAAAGTTTTAAAACAAGTAAATATAATATACTTTTACTAATGCTATCAGCATATGGATTCAAAATAGTCAATGTTGACTGAGAGAGTGAAGTTCTGCTTTAAATGCATATTAAAAGGGTACCTAATTTATGCACCACAGTAAAAAGTGGACCTTAACAGAACACAAAAATAAAAACAGCCAAATATGTAATATACGGTGCATACAATTAAAGTGGTTGTAAAGGATCAAGGTTTTTTAACTTCATGCATTCTATGCATGAAGGTAAAAAAACCTTCTGTCTGCAGCGGCCCCCCCAGCACCCCTCCGATCCAGCGATGTTCACAATAGCCTCAGTTGTATGGGGACACTCCCTCATCATTGGCTGAGACAGCAGTGGGAGCCCATTGGCTCTCACTGCTGTCAATCACAGCCAGTGAGTCAATGAGGAGAAACCAGGGGGCAGGGCCCAGACATGTCTCTATGTGTCTTGTGGATGCATAGAGCAACAGCAAGCAGCTTTCCCTGGGGCACTGCTCGAGGGAGAGGAGCCACTGCACTGCTGGGGGACATGAAAAGAAGAGGATTAGGGCAGCTGTGTGCAAAACCACTGCACAGAACAGGTAAGCATGACATGTCATTTATTTAAAAAAAAAAAAAAAAGTTTTAGTATCACTTTAAGTTCACTAATAAAATTATATAATTAGTGCTAGAACTGCAAATTCTACGAGTCTACAAGAGATGCCCTGCAGGGTATAGCATAGAAAATGTTACTAAGAATTTTTTTTTTAGGACATTTTGCACCAAATACATGATTACACTACTAGCTGCCACATTTTAAACCTTCCAAAGGTCATGTTAGATAGAAAAAACTTTACAGATTTACTGAATAACTCACCTTGTTTGGACCATTCAGGCAACTTGTATCTGAACAGGTATCACTGTCTTTAACTAGTTCCCGTAAACTGGGGAAAATCCAAAGACTGCAGAAAAGCTGAATCCCTCTGCTGTGAGGCTGGAGGCACATTAGTTTGGTAACATTGTCCTTGACCTCCTGGAGGAACCATCCTGACTTCCATGTATTTTAGGGTTCCATCTGTGTTCAGGAAAAGAGCTGGCTGATACTGATCCATGAATGATTTAGAGTCAGATCCACTAAGATAACAGCAACTGCTGCTATAACCATAACTTTCCTTTCTCAAACATTTCACTAGTAATATAATGAAAGTCACAAGAGAAACTAAACTGATAGCCACAAGAGAAACAATTAAATATAAAGTCATATCTGATGGTGGTTTGGAATTTCTCATGAACTCTCCAGGTTTGGGTTTTTCTACTACAAAACATCATCTGCTATACTGACAAGTACTGAGACAGTTGTAGATAATGGGGGATCCCCATTATCACTGATAGAGATGACAAGTTGCTGCTCTGTATTTTCTACCTCCTGAAATCCTCTTGCAGTCCTGACCTCTCCGGTATGTTTGGAGACTTGGAATAGTGAAGAACTAGCAGGATCAATGAGATTAAAGGCCAACCAGGCATTGTGACCACAGTCCAGATCCACTGCAGTCAGTTTTGTCACCAGATATCCAGCATTTGTAGATTTTGGGATTCTCTCTTGGACAATTAGATCCTCAGAGTGCTCTGGATACAGCAGGGTGGGGGAATTGTCATTTGTATCCAATATGAATATAAAGACAGGGACAGTAGAAAATAATGTTGGAGATCCAGAATCCCCTATTTTTATGGTTATTTGTAGAGTCTGAATGTGCTCATAGTCAAAGGAACGCTGAGCATAAAGATCACCAGTATTAGAATTTATATAAACAAAAGAAGATACAGAGGATCCATCTATCTGGGTCTCCACTATAGAGTAAATCAGAACAGAGTTGACCCCCATCATCTGCATCAGTAGCAGACACTGTACATAGAAGAGTCCCTGGATCACTGTTTTCCTTTATAAAAGCATTATAAACAGACTGTAAAAATACTGGTGCATTATCATTCACATCAGAAACCCTGAGAATAATAGTCATCTTACTAGACAGAGCTGGAGACCCTAAATCAGCAGCTGTCAGCTCTATAGTGTATTCAGATAATTTTTTCTCTATCCAAAATCCCATCAGTGACCAGTGAAAAAATGTTCTTTATTAGTTCTGATTTTAAATGGAATATTGGGGGATAAATCTAATTGTATCTCTCCATTTTTCCCAGAATCCTTGTCTACCACATTAATAAATCCTACAGCAGTTCCCAGAGGAGCACTTTCTGGAATCTCATTTGCCATAGAAGCAAATGATATCTCAGGATAATTGTCATTTACATCTTCTACTTCTATATGAACCAGACAGTTACCTTCCAATTTAGGAATTCCTTTGTCTACTGCTTTAATCGAAAATTCATAAAAGTTTGCTTCTTCAAAATCTACAGATCCATTAATAAAAATCTGACCATTCTGTTGGTTTAGAGCAAATTTTTCTCTAGCAGATTCTGATGTGTGCTCCTCAATATAATACAGGATTTCACCATTTGCTCCTTCATCAAGATCTGTTGCATTTAAAGTCAATATAACTGTATGTAGAGGTACATTTTCCTTTAGATTGATCTTGTACACTGTCTGATCAAACACTGGCCTATTATCATTAATATCTAACACTGTTATTGTGATATGACAGGATCCTGATCTAGCTGGTTCTCCTCCATCTATAGCAGTGAGAATAAGATTGTGTTCTTGTTTCTCCTCCCTATCTAACACCTTCTCTAATATCAGCTGAGGGATGAGAGTGCCATCCTTACGATTCTTTACAGACAATGAGAAATAAGGGTTTGTATTTAATATGTACTGACTAATGCCATTAACACCAACATCCAAATCCTTAGCAATATCCAAAGTAAACCAATCACCAGACTTGCAAATAATTCTGTAATCTCAATAATGCGTTTATTAGATGCAAAAATGGGGGAATTATCATTAATATCCTGAATTTCTATGTTTAAACTGTAAAGCTCTAAAGGATTTTCAGCAACCACCTCTAAACGCAGCACACAGCTCACACTGGATCCACACAGGGTCTCTCTATCAATCCTGTCATTCACAGTCAAGCCTCCATTTTCCTTATTTACAGTAAAAATATTTTTGGTATTTCTCAGATGATAAATGTAATCTGCGCTGAGAAATCTCTGCACGTTTTATGCCCAGATCCTGAGCTACATTTCCTACCCATGTCCCTGGATCAGACTCCTCCACAATAGAATAACGAAGCTGCCCAGAGACCGAGCCCCAGCTACAAAGGAGAAGGAGAGAAAGCTACTTGCCATTTCCAACACAGACAGCAGTCTCTGATGTCCATATCTTACAATGTTTCCTTGATATTTGCTTTATCATAGATCCTTTATAATCCACAATGCCTGGTATTTATAAATTCATAAGTGTTTTATAGCAAAAATAATCCATCTGTAGCAAAAACATCCTCAGGATCTCTAACAAAGCAGTCCTTTGTGTGTGAGAGAAGAGATGGGAGGGTGGAATCACTGAGCCAGGGGGAGGAGAGTGCAGGGATCATTTGAGCAGCTATATTTCTGAAGCTAAATCAAATGTTCAGATGGCAAGTCTGCCCTCCTGTGGCCTTTAGATATAATTGCAACCATATTTAATACATGCAGGAGTTATCATTTTTAAAGGAAAAAAATAGACTTAGTTTGCCAAAAGACGTGGTTGTTTTGCTCTGTTTTTTTCATATTTACATATTTCTGCTAAGGAACAATTTATACAATATAATGGATTGCATTATGAGCACAACATATGGGAAACTTGGTGATTTTGAACCTTTCAATCAATACAAGTCTATTTTTATTATTATTCCTACTTTCAAGCCATTGTTTAAATTTGGAAACAATTTTCATGCTTTGCTATATTCCTGGTCAGTCTTTCTTTTGAGCCAGAGGAATTATGGGTTATTCTGGCATGCAAATTCTATTAAATTCTGTGATGTAGAGCCTGAGATGCATCTTGGGCCCCATTGTTGGTTCACCCCCCCCCCCCCCCCCGCGGTCAGAAGAGTGGGCAGTTGTTTTGATTTGGAAATAGTTTTCATGCTTTGCTATATTTCTGGTCAGTCTTCCTTTCGAGCCAGTGAAATTACAGGTTATTTTGGCATGCAAATTCTACTAAATTCTGTGATGTAGAGCCTGAGATGTGTCTTGGGCCCCATTATTGGTTCAACAAAAGAGTGGGCAGTTGTTTTGATTTGGAAATAGTTTTCATGCTTTGCTATATTTTTAGGTGCATGTAGATCTGGTCAGTTTTTCTGTTCAGCCACCAAAATCCCAGATTGCAGATTTCTACCAAATCATGTAAGTGAGACCCTTGCAGAGTTATTGGGCCCCACTACTGACTGATCACAAGAATGGGCCATTGGAAGAGCAAACACTGTGTAAGGGGGGGTGAGTCGATATCTAATATTGCTGGAGATTTAGAAAGATTGCCTGACTACAGCATGCCATTACATTTAAAATATTTACCATGCACATGTACACACAATACAATACTTTTAAAAAGGAAAATGAAAAGGCAGTTGAAAAAAAAAAAAACTCCATAGTAAGTGCTTGAGATGCAATAACTGCAATAAAAAGCAATTGCTGACAGACACAGGCATAATCTGATGTCATAATATTTTATAATATCTCCCTATAAAAATAACTTCATTTCCCAATGCTTACTACACAGCTTTTTCATGTCTTTCAAATTAAAAAAATATACCACTGGGCTTGCACTTTAAAGGTCAGCCTGAAATAATGGATTATTTGGATAAACTATTTCTGAAGAAGTCCAATGAACAAAACATTTTGAGGGGTGGATAAGTGTGACATCAGATGCCACTTTGAAAACCCAGAAGCAGCCGTGTTGGCTGGGGGACTCTAATGAGAGTGACCAGAGCTCTTTTATCTCAGTGAGGATAGCACTTTTTAATGTTCTGATTTTTACTTTTTTATGTAAATATGGGAGTTTTCTCTTATTTGTAATATATGAGGGACAAGTGATTCTAAGGATACACATAGACCGGTTACAAGGAAGCATGGAATTCAGTGGAGGAATGATCTGTACAGTGGTTATTAGATGGGTAGTTGTGAAGTTTCCTGTTTTGGGAGCACATTTCCAGCTACTTAGCAATAAGCGGTCATGGAAATATGCTGAGTGTGCTGTTTTTCAAGCACTATGACGATGCTGCAGAGATTACACGTTGAATTAATCAGTGTTAGTGGTTTCATACAGTGGAAATGTATAATTAAAGGGACTGCCATTTATTTTTTTATAACCACTTATTTTTTAATATATCCACATTTTTTTGGATAGCATTATTATTTTACACTGAATTTATGTTGCATGCTGCCACTAAGGTTTTTCGTCACAATGATTTGGTGAACACAAGAATCAATCAATGATTTATTTTATTTTCACAGTGTTTCATTTCTTATTATTTTTTTTATTTGATTTTATAAAATTGTATGATATTTTGAGGGAGGGTATAGTCTGGGTATTTTCAAATATATTACTTAGATAGACTCTACACTACAGAGTTTTAAGTTAAATTTGTTGTTTTGACAGATAGACTATGAAAGGACTGTGACTGTGGGACCAATTTAAGAGTTATTTTAAAAAAATCAGGTTTCATAAGCAATATTGCTTTTAATTATAAACCAAAACAATAAGATGGTGAACAAATAGCTTCATATGATTAAATTAATTACAACACAAAACTAATTAGTTTTATCTGAACATTGTGGGTTACATATAGAATACTTTCCTGTTCATAAAAAGCAAATACCTTCTATCTGTAATTTAGTAATGCTGACCAAAAATGAGAGAAAGACCTTTGAACAGAAACAGTAAGAAGGATTTCTTTCTTGAGAAATACTTACTGCAGAGAGATTGCTTTGACTTTAGTCTTATTGGCCTTGTCATAAATGACAAGGCCAATAACATTAAAGTCAAAGCAAGATTAAATAAATCAATAATGTAACTGTTAAGCAATTAAAGGCATTTAAATACTGTATCTATGTGTCTCACCCTGGGTGCATCAGGGGCCATGCACCCACACTTGCACGGATATCACATTGAAACACAGCGGCTGTGTCTGTACAGCTGCATGGTTCCATAGACATCTATGGAACTGCTGGCATGGGGATGCATGCAACACTGGGCATCCCTCTGCCTGCAAAAAATGGCCTTGCTCGTGGCATGCAGTTTATCAGCCATGCATCAGACCTTGTAGACTAAAAAAGGGCTGCAAACACAACATCAGTGATTAATTTAAAGTCGTCATGTAATCCACCAGTATAATTTGAAATGTGTTAATGAACTTAACAATTTCCACTAAATAGACAGGTCACTCACTGTATTTGTTTTAACAACCAGCATTGCTCTTTACTGTTTTGTATCAATGGTACAAATACCGCAAGGTAATCATAAATATATAGCAGTATAATGTCCAATCATACAGTGCCAAAAATGTGTAAGCTGAGTACAATAAACATAGGGCAAGTATCTCCAATATGGTGTAGAACATACGTACAGTGGATAACCAAGTATAAGAAGATAGCAAAATCCTAACAGAAGGAGGCATCAGAAAAGGGAAAAGGGGTTGGGGGGTGAGCACATGATCCCTCACTGCGTTACCCATGGCTTCCAGATCCTGTCATATTTACCTGGACAATTCCTGTTAATAGAAGTCAATTTGTACATAGGTAATACATCATTAATTGCAGTTTCCCACGATGTTAATGTGGGAGGAGACGGGGAGGTCCACCTACAGAGAAGTTCCTTTTTAGCATAATATAATAAACAGGAGATCAACAGTTTGGTACACCTGGGTCTCTGCTCATTGTCCTGTATCCGCAGGAGAGCCAATTCAGGAGAGCATGGCAGAGACAATCATAGACGGGTGTTAATTAAGTCAAACACCTCAGACCAAAACTGTACTATTCTGGGACAGGACCAAAACATATGAAAGAAAGTACTCACAAACATGTGACATCTAGTACCCTGTGCAGGAACTTGGTTTGAATTCATTTGTCTCTTGAGGAAACAACCAGTTTGGAACTATGCTTAAAGCTTTCCTCCCAGGAGTCCTCCAATATTCCCACAGTTTATCTATCTTAGGGGAACTTACCCTGAGCAAAGCATAATAGAGTGCGGAGAGTGGTTTAGAGAGGGACTCCTGCGAAGAAGGTCCTCAAGTGTGTCAGTATCCAATACAGTTCAGGAAACTGGCATGTAGTTGCATGTCTCAACTGGCAGTAGCGAAAGTATATCCAGCAAGGAAAACGGAACCGACCAGAAAGTTCCCGGGAGGACAAGAC